CATATCCTCAGAGTGTCTTTTCAACTTTTACCTAAGAAAAAGTCATCCTTCTGAAGGAAAAATTGGGATGAGGGAAAAAAGAAAGAAAGAAGGCAAAAGATAGATCAATAGATAGATGATAGATAGAGATGGATAGAGATAGATAGATATCATGAGAAACCACTTTGAAAATATCAATATGTAATACAACAAGCATTGTTAATTTCCTACCACTTTGTAACTCTGTATTGTCTGTACTGTTCTTTTGCTGTTTTGTAAAAGGTAGTCTGTCTGTCAATGTTTTCCTCCTTTTATTTTTAAAATTAAAAAAGAGATAGAGACATAGATAGAGATGGATAGATAGAGATAGAGATGAATAGAGATAGATAGATAGATAGATAGATAGATAGATAGATAGATAGATAGAAGAATAGCTGGGATAACTGTACATTTTAATGCTTAAAATTTTTTATATTCTGACCAATTTTGCATGCTTGTATCTGGTAATCTGAGCAACTGATTTGAAGACAACAATATGCAATGGAACGACCATTGGTGAATTTCTACTATCTTGTCTAGTGAAACTATATCATCTCTAATGTTTTATCTAATAATTATTTCCTTATTCTCTTTAATGGTTTGAACAATCTTCCATTCTTACATCTGGTGATCTGAGCAACATAGTTGAAGATAACAATATGTAATATAACAACCATTGTTAATTCCTATTATTTTGTTTTGAAACCCTGCATCACTTTTAATGTTCTTGCCTTGTTTTGTTTATGTTTGTGATGTTGACGTGCTGCTATTGTTCCTTTTTTTCTTTTTTTTTTTTTGCTTTTACTACTCTCTTTAAAATAAAAAAAGAAAGAATCATCCTTCAGAACATGCATGACTTAAGAAAATTGGACAATAATGCTTACCTAGCAATTTTGAGGACCAGTTATTGTCCCCTTCCTCATTTACCCTGCCAGATCCATTTTAGTTCAACTTAATTAACTCCCTGAAAAATCTCAGTGTTAAAATAGACTTTGGTATCTGAGCATCCTAGTTCTAGATGGCTGATGATACCACAGAGTCACCTTAGAATCCAAACAGTGAAATTGTAATAACCCTCCAAAAAACAATAGCTAGTACATAAAGGAGACAAAAGAGGACTCTTTTTTCATTAGATTTTTTGGCTATCAAGAAGTACACACCTACCCCAGTGCAAAACCTACCCCAACTCTCAAATATCCTTCTTTGGTCAGTGAACAATATATGATAAAGGTAATTGAAGTTATATTTAGAAAATCTATATGCATTTTAAACAAAATTGCTGAAAAATATACACTATAAAAACAGGCTTGGGGGTTAGGGATTAGCTCAGTGGCACAGCGCCTGCCTGGCAAGCCCAAGGTCGTGAGTTGAATTCCCGGTACTGGAAAAAAAAAAGGCTTATAATTTTTAAAGACTTGTATGCACTTATAAATGTTATACAAACACAAAAGTACATAGTAAAAATTGGCCCTAATCGTGGCATTCAAGGAAAACTTATTTTACTGATACCTTTTCAGACATCTCTTTATTTACATACATAACTTTATTTAAATGGAACCATAAACTTTAGCCTGTAGTCTAACCTGGAGATCTATAAACACTTAAATGATTAGATAAACTTCCACCAAGCACAGAAGTAATCTGGCTTTTTATTCTGATTCTAAAATCTCACTCTGTATGCACAGTAGGTTGGTTTTACACATTAAGACCATGTCTCCAAACTACACTGCCCAATACAATAGCCATTATTTCTGTGTAGTCATTTTAATTTAAATTAATGAAAATTGAATAAAATTAAAAATTCAGTTCCTGGATTGTACTGACCACTTCTGAAGTTCTCAGTAATTCATGGGGCTGGCAGCTACAGGAGGGGGCAGTACAGCACAGTTACCTCATCACAGAAGGCTCTACTGGAGGAGGCTGTGTTGGAACCAGATGTTCCTCAGATACGGGCCAGTAGAGGGCTAAGGTTTTATTTACACACCTGAATTTTCCAAGCAATTTAACCTTTGACTCAGCCTCATACGGGGTTAAATCTCAACTGTAGAAGTCACAGAAGTCACAACTCGGAGATCAGCCATTTGGACAACAAAGGCTAAAAGAAAGACTTCCCATTGTTTGCAGTGATTCTCAAAGAGCACGTCTTTTGGCTTCTTTGGTGACCAGAACAACTCTCCCTAGCACTGTGTTCCCTTGGGATGTCATGGCTCTTGCTCACAGAGAATGAGTGTGTGAGAGTGAAAGAGTAGGTTCCCCCAGTAGACGGGTCCATCCGACATCAGCATGGGAAAATCACTCTAAATATCAGAATATATACATAAAACAAGAGCAATTGCAGAATTAAAGAGCAGCAAGGTCTAGGAACTAGATCCAAGCCAACCACCCACCTGCAGTTCCCCTGGATCTTAACATCATACAATGAGAGGAGAAAAAAATGGGGGAAGAAACTCCATATGCTGAGTATCACATCCTCAAGCTGAGCAAATAACCCTCCTTGTTTTGGGGTCTCTGTGTCTCTAGAGAAGAGAACACAAAATTAAATTCAGGCTTGTTGCAATAACTTGAGAAGATAAACTTCCGATTTGTTTAGCATTGAAGTTCAGTTTGAATAAGCACCTAAAGTTACATGCACTCCAATCTCATGCAAGTCTTCCTACCCCGCCCCCTGAAATCTTTGGAGGCTGAAAATTTGGAAGCAAAAACAAATATTCTCACAGATTTTTTTATCCTTCACTCTTCCACCTAAATTTTAACTTCCTCAAAAATAGCCCTTAGGGCTTTCATTTCAACAAGTCTTCCTCCAGTCCTAGTAGGAGTATGGAAATACAACCAAAAGAAATTAACAGCATGAAAAGAAAAAAACAGCAGATTCTCAAAATGGTTCAGATTGAGGTCTGGAGAAAGACTTGAAGTTATTGCTCAATTGTTGTGAATTGTCTTAACTCCGCTTACAAGCCTTTTTTGTTCAGTGGGTACCCATTTGTCACAGAGATCAATCCAACTCTATCCTCAGGAACAGCCTGTGGAAGGACTATTTCTTTTATTTTTAATTTGTTTATTTCTCTGCTCAATAAACGCTTGCTGAACAGCTGTTCTGTTCTAGGGGCAGAGCTAAGTGCTGTGTTTACAAACATTAATAAGAAATGGCTCCTGTCCTTAAGGAGCTCTAAGCACAATAATGGTTATGAATGCTGGAATGGAATGCCACATAGAAGGGGCACTGTGTCAGTCAGCTTTCCAACCCTGTGACAAAGTACCTGAGAAAATCAACTTAGCAGAAAGACTTATTTTGCTTCACAGTGGCAGAAGATCATGGGATACTGTTGATTGGTCCTATTGCTTTGGGCCTGAAATGAGGCCAAAAACATTATGGCAGAAAGGGGGTAATGAAGAAAAGCTGCTCACTTTGGGGTGGCTGGGAAGCAGAGACTGAGAGAAGAAGGGTCCAGGAACAAACTACATTTCAGAAACATGCTCCCCACTCACTCTGCTCTTCCCACTAGACACCACCTTTGAAAGTCTCCACCCCCTGCCAACAGTGGCTGCCACTGAGGTCTAAGCCTTCTGACACATGAGCCTTTGGGAGACACTCTAGAACCAAACTATAACCACTGCAAAATTGGTGATTGACAGGAGTCCCAGAAAACTCCCTCCAGGAGGAGGTACTTGAATGAAATCTTGCAGAATAGCTATGAATTAGCCACATGATGAGGATGGGGAGGAATATCTCAGCACAGGGAAGGGGCAGGATGGCACAGTGTTTGTAGACAGGAAAATAAATGAATACCATTGGTACGACTGGCAAGCAATGAGGCCGGAGAATAGGTAGGCTTGTGGGAGGGCGGGTCCTGTTTTATCCTGAAGGTGATATGAACCAGTTAAGGACTCTAAACATAAGATGACAGGAGCAGGGCATCATTTCAGATAGATTAATGGGACATGATTATAAGGAATCAATGAAAGGGAGATACACATGAGAAGAGAGCAAGAAACACCAAGTAGATGATAACTTCAGTGTCTGAAAGGGAAAACTGCAGCAAATCTTAAACTAAAGGGGTGTTCTAGATGTAAAAAGTGCCAAATGAAATGAATTCAGGAAATATTAGAAGAAAGAAAATATCAAGATTTGAGGACTAACTGGATAAATGGAAAGAAGCTAGAGAGCTTTTAAAAGACAACCAAGTGAGTAAAAACTAAACTCGTAGTTTAATATTCATTTTGAGATGGGGGTTGGTGTTAATAGGACATCTACTTGGGCCTCTGAGATATCTATCAACATTCTTGAGACAGAGAAAAAGGTGGCTTTTCTTTGTGCATCATAGCTAATTCTCATTGTCCCAGGAAGCTTTGCCCCTCAGGTAATGTTCATTTCTTAGACTTCAGTGATCCTCTCAAAAGCAAACAGTCAAAGAAATCCAAGGACCTTTTGCTAGGTAGACTATTTTGGATTTGGGCATAAATCTGTATGAGAAATCAGCCTTTTAGTCACTAGTATTTCCTGAGATTTATTCTGTGCTGACCACTGCAAGTACAAGAAGAGTGAAATCTATACTCATGTTCTTCATTAGCCCATTTTTTTATGTCTTTATATTTTCGTTTTGTTTGCTTATTTCTAGTCGTTATCATCATACTTTATAGCAGTGGTCCTCAAACTGCGTAAGATCATAAATAAGAATGACCTTATTAAATTACAGCTGCTAGGGTCCTAACCCCGGAATAGGGCCCATGAAATTGCATTTATAGCAGACTAGGCTGCTGCTACGACTGCTGGTTTCAAGGCCCCACTCTGAGAGCCATTACTTTATAGCCCTGAGTGAGTGTTCTCTGTGAAGCAATGTCAGGTTCTTTCCTGCAGTCTTTCAGTATCCATAACATGGAATTGACGTCAGTGGGAATTGCACAGGCCACAGAGGTGTCATGCTGAAGCCTTAAGTGTTTACAACCAGCCGCTCACCACGTCACTTTTGTCTCCTGTGTTTCAGTTGTATTCTCCCTGGGGCATCGCTGTTGCTGTTTCCTCATAAGTTGCTGCAGTTACAGCTCCTGGTGAGGTCAAACAGTCCCAGCTGGAAAGCCTTGCGGACCAAGAACAAACGTTCCTCTGTGTGAACTTCTGTTACTCTACCTGAGCTTAAAAGTCAAAGACGAATATACTGATCACCTGATCATCTTGAGAGGGTCGTGAGATTTCCAAGCATTAACAGACACTGTGAAGGCTGCAATGGTCAGCTCTGGGCCAGTCATGCAGTTAGCCTGGACCACAATAAAGATAAATGGGTAAGAATCTGCCTTAAAGGAGCACAGGGAATTGTATGACTTGCCAGTTGCTTTGCCTATGAGTTTGTTTTCTTGTGCATGATTGGAAATTGTGATCTATTGCAGGCAGAGAAAAGTTCCTTTAATTTATTTATACTATTCAGGAGTTTTTCCTGGTCTTTACCATCAAGTATAAATTTTGTAATTTCACACGTGGAAAAATCAAACAGGCAACTATTGAGTTATTCAAATATTAAGAGAGTAATGAGTGAAAAGAAGGTATAAAGAATATTTAAAGAGTATTGTAAAACAAACAGTAAAGACTTGATTTCTCCAACAAGAGGTTTTAGTGAGACAGAAAAAATAGCTAAAATGAAATAATTTTCAGGTTTCTACCTCTTTTGATCAGAAGGGAAGTTATATAAATAAGAAGACTGAGGAGGGATTGGTTTATATAAGAGGCAGTGTTTGCTTTGAATATCCAGGTGACAGTGGGACAGCAAATTAGAAGTGTTTTGAAATATTTTGAAATCCAGGTTTGCAGTTTGGGCGAGAAGGTGGCTTAGGGAATAATGTTGGGAAATCCCTACTTGGCTATCACTTAGAATGGATAACAGAAGCTTTGTGAGCGGGCCCATGAAAGAATAATCAGATAATTGAAAAATGGGTCCTAACGTTCCTTCCAAAAGTGTTCATCTTGGATTTGCTACCTCTGTGTATTTTCAGGTTAGTACTTCAGCTAAAATGTGAGTGGTATTGCTAGAGCACAATATCGTGTTTCCCTGGAGAAATTCCCCAGGTGCCTGAGCATGTGCCCATGACTGTTTGCCTATGTGCCCACCTGTATAGAAAAACTGGCTTCGCTGCATATATTAGAGGTTGAATTAGAGTTACTTTCAGTTCTCTCAGAAAGGCATAATAAAGTAGTCTGAAATGGCAGACTGCCATTAAACTACCATTAAACCATTAAAATATCTGTAGCTCCTCTCCTTTTTTCCATATCATTCGTGCCATGTGACACTGATGTGGAGATACTTTTCAGCCACATTTGAAAAGCCTCCCCTGAAGTTGCAAACCCAATGGTTTGGAAGAGATATTTCAAATAACTCAAAATATACAGTGTAAACAAACTGGCCTTTTAGTATGAAGTGTACTAAATTAAAGAAACCAGATGCTTTGGTTGGCTTGGAACAGCCAGATTATGATTGGCCCTCCTTCACTAACCATTTTTCTTGGGGCCTCCTCACCTTCTCCTTCCTTTTCCCCTCCTCCTCCTCTTTCCCCTCTCTTTGTCTCTCATCCCTCATCCACTTTTTCCTTTCTCAGAAATAGATATAGGAGACACATCTTTCAACAACAAATGGTTTCTGAAAGTAGTGTTATTGTTTTTAATTTTGTTTAATTTTAAAGTTGTTTGCTTATATTCGCTGGAATTTGCTCACTGGAGACCTGGTGTAAGAATATGAATCACACCTTCAATCATGGTTCTAAGTGTGAAAAACTTTCCTATGTAACAATTTTATTTGACTTAAAAATTAAACAGTAAATACTCTTTCAATACTACTGAGATATTTTTTCAAGGACTCCAGGAATCATTTAAATGCATAAATCTCCAGGTTATTTATCCACTTATAATCAAGAAGCCTCAAGATCCTCTGAGAGGGGTTAAACCCAAATACCCCAGTTTATTAAAAGTTGGATGAATCTTCATGCAATCAAGTGCCTTTCCTTTCTACAGTACACTGTACTGGCCAAATCTATGCCATCTCAATCAATTGATACCTTGGGAAAGTACTAGGTAATATGGATTGAAACCCACTTTCATCTGAAATATCTGGAGAACTGTACCAGGAATGCAATTCCAGCTTAAACTTGGAGATCAAATTTCCAGAAAGAGATGAGAAAGGTTAATGAAAAGAAGGTAAAGGAAGAAAAATCTTACAGAGCCTGATACAAGAAAAGGAGATCAACACTGTTGTTTCAATATATGCCATGTAGCTGGAGGAAATTTCATGTTTCTGTGATTGAAGTAAATACTAATATTCTTTGTGTAAAGGGTTAATTATGGCTTAGCTAAGAGAAAGGCAGCCACGGAACATTTTATAAGTATACAGTTTTCTATAAGTATTAGTTGTAAAAAGCAAATAGCCAGATACTGTCTCACAGCTATTAAATCCTATTGTATTTCAGCTGGATCAGGGAATCATTTTTAGGGCCAGAGCACCTAAACTGCACAAGTCTGTCTGCTCTCCCTTGAGGGAGACGTATTTATTGTGCTTTAATAAATCAAGTGTAGGACTGGAATTGATTCGAGATAATTTAGGAGGTAAATTTCATTTGAAATTTTCAGGAGATGGAGAAAAAAAGAAACTCTAGAAACTCTCCTTGGCCTCCTTTTGTCTCCAAAACACCCATCACTACCCTGCTACCTCTCCACCCCTCTTTCCCTGCTGGGCCTTGGCTTCCAGCTGACAGTGGGTCCCTGTGGCTTCATTCTGGCACTGCACGACAGCCGGGTGGGATGGGATGGGCACCACCCTGGAGATGAATGTTCCGCTGTTTTCCCAACACGACTGAGCCTTTTGAAAACTACAGTATTGTATTAAACATATTTAACAGGTTCTAAATGTGATCCCTGATGCACTCAAGACATCAGATCATTTTATTGCTTAGCATGTTATTGCACAGCCTGAGTTGGCATCCCGGTTCTGAAAGAAGAAAAGGAAAATAGGTCTACCACCCTCTCTGTCACCATCACTCACTTCTCACAGGCAGGACAAAAAGGAGTTATGATTTTTCGTTAGAAATTCTGCATAGAAAGTGAGTCAGGAAATTCTTTTTTGTGCTTTGGCTTTTACATACTTGTTCCCAAAGTCCTGTCCCTCTACTAATCTAGTCTGAAATTGATAGGGATTTCTGCAAAACAAAGACAAAAACTTTGGAGCCTCGTAGCCCAGTTTGTCTCCCTTTTGTGGTGGTCAGGGAGACTGAGTGTTCAAAGAAGCAGCTCTGAGCCTGGCTGCTTTTTGGGTAATGGAGTCAGTTAACAATCCCAGGCAGATATGGAAATCTTGACTTCCATCACTGGGCTGCTGGCTATCCAAGGGAAGCCACGCTGAAAAGAAAGAAAAGAAGCAAAGTAGGAAAAAGAAACGTCAGTACTGAAAAGTAAAGGAAATTAACAAAGCTCCCGCTGTTTTTTCAGGGCAGCACCACTTTTAATCCAGGGAAGCTGATGGTAGGTGTCATATTAACTGAGTGTCTTTGCCCCATCTTTAACGTCTGGCTTCATAGTGCCCTAACACACAGGCCGACACTGAGATTAGAGCGTGATTCAGGTGTGTAGGTCAATGCTGCAGACATGAATAGTATTTTATAAAACAAGACACCGTCGGGTGATTATTTAGCTCTCAGCTTTGTGAGATTCTTGGATTACTAATTCTCAGAATGTTTGTCCGTCAGGCTCTTATGGATGTACTTTACCAGCTGAGTTTTACAATTTCATGTCAGGTTGTGACTGCTTTTTTTTAACCCATGTATTTTTAACTTTTGCCTAACAGATAGTTACTCTGCAGTACTCTCTAGTAGGTGCCACCTAAATTCCTCTTGCCAAAGAACTCTCCTCATTATTCTGTTTTCTGTTTTCAGATTGTGTGTCTGGGAACCTGGGGTTTAACTTCTGTACTTAGGGGACGGTCTAGTACTCTACCCATTCTGAATCATCTGTACCTTTCATTTGCATCTACTCCTAGATTAGTATTTCCTTCCAATTCTAATATGAAGCTACTTACACTTTCAGAATTCTAATTCTTTTCTTAATAGATTTTAAATATTTCTTTATGTTATCTGATTTTTTGCCTCCATTCTACTACTTTTGTGCTACTTTGGCCCCATTTAAAATTTTTCAGAAAGTGACATAGCCCAACCTTGGTGCCTGCCGGAGTCCAGTCCCTCCCTTCCCTACCCACGCTCCCTCAATAATTCACAAAGGCCTTGATACCCATCTGAGGGTGAGTGCGCATTCCACCCCAGAGGGACTTTTAATTACACTCCCTTTGCCTGCGGGTTAAAGATGCAGATATCGTACTCAGAATAAAAAACGTAAAATGGAAAGTGCTGCCGTTAGAGACTCGGCAACAGCTTGAGAATGTCAGCAACCAAAGCTGAGTGCAGACAGTGCCAAGGTAGATGGAGCAGCACTTGGGAAGAATATTGAGAAGCCAGCTGTTATTCCCATTGGCACGAGAAGGTGCCAGTCACCACCCAAACTGCAGAGAACATGCGCCAGAGTCTGGGAAAGAGCGCCTTCGCATGCCAACCAGAAAAGGGCCTCGTTGTTTCCGTGTGTCCAAATTACATCGGCACTTACTTATGCACTCTGCTCTCACTAGCCTCTCATTCTCCCTGCGTAGGTTGGAGTGAGAAAGAAAGCTTGCTGAGGAGACACCTTTTACTTTCATTTTACACAGTTTGTAATAAGTAATTTTACAGTTTAAATGTTGATTGCGGCAAGGCTTGGCATCTTACGTTGCTTAACGGTGTAGACATGGGCAAATGAAAGTGGAGGTGACTAAGTCACCATCCTACACGGATCAGTCAAATTTGCAAAGCTCTTTATCTAGGACCCAGAAATTTTGCTAACCAAAAAAACAGTACCTCAAAATATTCCAAAGAAACTTTGTTGCCTCCAAACAGATGGGGGTGGGGAGGGTTTTTCCTTAATTTTATTTACCACAAAGTAGGAAAAACAAGAGACATTTCCCCCTTACATTTATTCTAACTTGGAGTTTAAGACCGTACAAATGAGGCTTAGTTAACTTTCACTTTGGCTATACCTGAGCAGTTTTTGTTTGTTGTTGTTATTGTTTTTCAGTCTAAAAGCCTTAACCTAGAGAAGCAATTAGAAGACAATAGTTTTGTGACCTCTCTTTTCTACAAAGTGCAAAGCTTCCTAATTAAAAAGCACAGTCTTCTCCAAAAGGAAGATAAAGAGATAGAGAAAGCTTCTCCTAAGTCTATGG